GCCCGCTCTTACAGTCCCAAATTTTTTGTAGTCAGATTAGCACCTAAGAGTAGTTCGATTCAGACCATGGATCCTTTTTGTATACGTCTTTGGCTTGGGCAGATTGAAAGATTCTTGTGCTCTTTCTGCTGATAGTGTCAACTTTATTTACCCAATTCTGATCCTGTTTAATATTTGCCTTGCACTACTTAAGTGACTATGTAGAGATAAAACAGATTGTATTCTGATAGCTTATTACATGCCCCTTGTGTAGGACAGAATTGTAGCAAGTGGTTAATACCCTTCTCTGGGACTAAGGAGAACATGAGTTTGGTTTTCTCCCTTACCACAGACTCTTGATTATAAGCTTGAGCCAAGCTCCTGCCACAAGTAAGGGTTTGTTGATTTGGGTCTAAACTCTTGACACTGTTAAATCAGAAATAATATGCAGTGTTTTAAAGATCAAGGTAGAAGAGCTCGAATTAGTTGGCCTGAGTGAGCATGTCTTGAGTAACTTACAAATCATTTATACATACTTTAAGTGATTAAATCACAAATCTGACCTCGCTGCTATACATTTATAAACTTCTGTGTTTGCTTGGTTTTGCTTAAGTTGAAATGTTGATGTTAAGTCATGAAAGTATCAGTAAATTCAGACTCCACTTGATGCTTCAGAGGCATCATATTTTGGTGGTGTCCTTATGTGTTCTGCGACAAGGTAGAAAAGCCAATTACTGAAATTAATCATTGTCTTCTCTTGTGATGTTCTCAACATGAGTGACAGATGCTGCATTAAGCATATTGGATTCAAGCAAAACATACTTGTGTACCCAATGTATTTTGCAGGAGACTTAATCATTAGTGACAGATGGCTCTTGCCTAAGAATGGCTGCTTTTAATTTGAGTTGGTAGAAAAGACAAAAAAGATTGAATTCAAGTAGTCATTGTAATGAGAGATGACTCCATCCTGAAAGTTAATATGTGAAAATGATAAATGAAGAAGGTATTAATATTACAGAGAGGCTATTACATTAATGGGAGTTGTGCTCAACCCCGTGGAGATAATGTATGGGCTTCCAGCTGATGCTTTGAAGTTAAGTAGCCAGGTAATACCTTGAAGATCAGGGAAGCCACATAAAAGCATTCAGTATAAAGCAGAAATGTTTTGATTTGTCAGAAAGTTTTAGCAGGATATAGAGCCAGGTTGTACCTGACTTGCAGGTGAGTCCCCTGCAGTCAGTATAAAGCTCTGATGTTGGGGTTTTGGGGTTTTTTTGGGAGGGAGGGGGGTAATTTTTTTTGTCAGCCTGTGAAGGAAAACCTGTAGAGCAGAGAGGCTGGTGATCAAGGAGAAAGAATATGATGAAAATGTTAAACTTGTATTGGACAATTCTATGAAGTTAGAAAGTTCCTGAAGTAGAAGGACTTTGAGCCTTGTAATGATGAGCTTTCAGATGAGATGTGTCTCATCTAGGAAGTTAGCTTAAAGCTGGAACTGGCACCACCCCCCACCCCCCCCAGCTAGAAACCAATAAATGTGAAGGTGGTATGGGAAGGTTGGCATCTGTAAATGAAGAGGAGGGAAAAAAGCTATTGTTCATATGGTGTTGGCACTTGGTATCCCCACAGGGGCTTCATGGTGGTTTAAAAAAAACCCAAAACACTCAAAAAGACTAATGGATTGGTGTAGGAGAGTAAAAATTGACACGTGATTTTTTTAAGGTTTATGGAGGTGGGAAGAATTGTGCCAGTAGTTGGATCTAAAATTGTATCTATACCACTGCATTCACAACAGATAACCAGAAATCTGCATTTTAACATGCTCAAGCTTTTTAAGAGATTGCTTTTGGTAGAATATTATTTTTGAATCTTCTGCAGAAGACTTAGTAATGATGACCAGGCTTTTAAGTAGATAGATGAATGACACAAATATTCCTGTTGTGCAAACCTGTCAGTATCTTCTGGCTTAAATAAGATATTTATAAACCATCCCAATGACCCTTTAGTATTTAGAAGAGGAAGTCCTCCTGCAGATCTGGGGAAATACTCTTTCCTGGAGTGGTAAATTTGAACCTTTGCCATCTTGAATGTGAGCGTGGCGACAGCCTTACAGTTACTGTACTTCCTCTTTTAATAAAAGTGTGCCTGTCCAGCGAGTCAGATATTAAAAGTATGAAATCCTGGCACAACAGTCCTAAATAATACAAATTGCTAAGAATATTTGGGCAGTTGGAGCAGCAAGACTGTTTCACTTATTGTTGTCCAGGGGACTAGAAACAAAGCTCAACCTCAGCTGTCTGGCAGCCAGCGCTCCAGGGTGCAACTCTTCCAGCTTGCTTCTGGAAACAGTAGTGTGCAGCTGAAAATGGCGGTTCTGTAGCTTGCATTCATTAATAATTTCCTATCGACTGAGCTATTAGGCCTGTAGTAATATTCACAGGACATACCTCCTCCTCTTTGGAGGTTTGCACTGTGGGGTTGTGGAATACGCAAGCTGACTGCTCTCCGGTCGTGCCGTTCTCGCTGGCGCCCGTTCGTTAACGTGGGACCTGCTTGGCCTCCTGTTACAGCGTGCTCTAGCTTCCCTTGTCTTTTAGGCAGATTTAAATTGCTTTCCACGGCCACGTGAGGTTCAGCTCTGCTGTTTTCCCCTCTGCTGTTGTAATATGTTAGCATTGGCAACGTGCTGTAATGCAGTGCTGAGGTAGCGCTTACCGACTCCGTTGCACCCACTGTACATCTGGATAACTGCACTTCGGGCCATCTAGTCGCGTGGCATGTTGCCAAGTCAGTCTGGTTAGGCTTGTCAAGGATACTAATGCCAAGCAGCAAGGAATTTGGGATAATGAATCCAGTCTGCGTAACACCAGATGCAGTGTGTGGCCTTTATTGCAAATTTATTCTGTTTTCATTTGCTTAACCTTTATGTTGCCATTTCTGCTCATGCCAAAACAACAGTCTCTGAACATGGAAAACCTCAAAATTCAATCCGTTGGAAACTGCCACTCAGATGAGTTGTGATACAGTAAGCATGTCAGGAAAAAGAAGCAAAACACTTGGATAATCAGCATCTACTGGGAATATCAGGTCTTTAGATGACTGAATCATGAAATGCCAGGAAATCACCACAGCCGGATTAGAGTGTGATATTAGTTACGTTGTTGGCACTTGGCCCAGCAATCTGTTCAGACTCGCTACCCGAAAAGCCCCCTAAGAAACTCTGTACTATGACAGATGTCGATTTTTAATACTTTACTTTCTTCTATCCCTTCGACAGCTTTTGTCTGCATTTTTAAAATAAGCTGGCCTTGCTGAAGAAATAGTTTGATCCTCAGTCAGGAATCGGCTAGAGGTGCCAAGAAGCAGGAATCCAGCGGCAGGAAAGTGGACAAGGAGGCAGTACTTGGACTGCGTAGGGAAGGGTTTTGCTGTACTGTTTGGTGTGCCCTCTCATAAGGGCTGTGCTTTCTTCAGGGCTTACATTTTACTTGCTTAGCTCTGGCCCAAGCCATGGCTAGAGAATGGATCAAAGGGAAGCAATGTTTTGCGCAGACTTTAGCACCACTTAAAATTTTGGGAAACATCCGAACATGAGGGAAAACATAGGCTGTTGGTTTTCAAGTTCCTTCAGTTCCTCTTCACCTAGCATTAGCTGGTGTGTATGCAGTTATAACGGTGTTTTTGCATTGATTCATTGTTTCCAGACATAGTTTCAAGAGTTTACGAGGGATTGGAAATGAAAATGGCTTTGGGGTTTCCCTGGTTCCTGCCAGCCGGGAGGCAGAGGGGAGCGCTCCTCCAGGGGAGATGCTGCCTGCCATCAGCTCTGGGCACTTGTGCCTCCACAGCAGCCTAGAAGCCTGAGAAAGAGATACAAGAGGAAGTGTTTGCTGCTTTAACACCTTAGATACGTTTTTAAGTCAATGAAGTATCTTTTTTGCTTTAGGGAAGCTTTTTTTTTGACCCGTTAAAAGCCTGTGGTTTATTCTATGTTGAATGCAGCTGAACTGAAACTCGTATAAAGAATCAGATCATGTGCATACTTGAGCAAAGGTCAATAATTTGACATATTTGCCATAATGTTTAATAAACGGACATTATGTGTTTCTTTCTGGACCTACACCTTTCCTTACTGCACAAATCAGCAGAGGTTTATTTTCAGTACGCTAACTTGTCTGGTTTTTCATGACTTACAAATTGACTCACATACAGCAAAAATATGCTTTGGGTCCAGGGGAGGAGGAAGGAATGTATGTCTTCTGTAGCACATGAAGGCAAACACTAATTTCATGTAAAATGATGAAAGGCAAAGGAAAGCTATACTTTCCTGCAACTTTATTGTGACTGTCTGGGTGACGTTTGAAAAACAACTTTAAAAAGTCTTGCAACTGTTTTCTAATTGATTTATCTGTTGAATACAGTTTAACTCTTCTCTCTTTCTCCTTTCATCAGAAAAATGAGTGGTGGGTTGGCACCGAGCAAGAGCACAGTGTACGTGTCCAATTTACCCTTTGCTTTGACAAACAATGATCTGTACAGGGTAAGTTTTTAAGAGCTGCATTGTTCAGATTAAACTTGTTGATGAGCATTTTGAGTGTAAATAAAATACTGATATATACCTTCTACTTAGAAAAGTTTGTCTTGATGAATTTATTACCAATGAAATGCAATTGTCTATTGTTAAATCTTTTTGTTTTGTTTTATATTTCAGATATTTTCAAAGTATGGGAAAGTTGTCAAGTAAGTGACCTGATATGGCCTGCTATTTTTGTAGCTTTCATTTTAAATATTTAATGTCTTTGCTTCACTTAAATCTTGTGCTTTTCATAATTTCAGTATGAATGTGGAACTATATTGAAGTCCTGTTCATTTTTAATAAAGTATAAATTTAATTTAACAGCTAGAAGTTCTTGCAGTTACACGCATAATGTAAGAATATTTGTGTTGGGGACAGGTTTTGCTAACCACTTCTTAAGAGCAAGTAGAATGTTGTTGTATACCAGTGACCTTTTCTCTGAAATAGTTGAACCAATATTCTTCTAGTAAGTGTTGTTCCCCTTCCCCAAACACCGCCTGGGATGCAAGTGGGTAAGTGTAAAAGTGGGAGCTTCTAATTGTGTGAGCTGGATATCACAGCTGCCACAAACATTTCCCACAATTGCAATGTACAATTCCTCTCTTTGTGGTTCTAGAGGGACTTGTTATTGTGACTGTTTAGTATTATATTTAAGATTAGATGTAAAGCTGCATAGTAACGGCTTTTAATAGGCAGGGTATTCATGAACAACACTTGTGAATACCTGCCTCTGGGTTCAAATGATAGAAATAAATGCCACAGTAAGGAACTTGCTGTTTTATTTTGTTTCTTTATTTTTTTAACTGATCAAAATAACGAGACTCAAGACTTCAGTTTTTAACTCTAGACCAGCAAGTGTGTACTCTTAAATTCTAGTAGCTGCTATAATAATCTGTGAGATACAGAGCTAAATTCAAAGTTTTTGAAGTCTTGGGAGTGTGTTTGAGGTGACAAATAGCAGGAAAAGCCAAACTACAACTTTATAAAAATGTATTTTTTAAATGGACTGAGAGGAAAACCCTTTTGTAGGGCTCTGGCAGACATGCAGTGACCAGTACAACTGGGCACCTCCAGTTTCTGTTGTTTCCAGGGTGGGGTGCCTGACCTGTTTTAGTTGACTGGTGAACTACCGATTTAGAAAAATCCTGAGTAAAGCTTGTACTAATGCTGCTGTTTATCCATTGAGGGGCCTGTTCTCCATAAATTTGATCCTTCCGACTTCTCTGCTATTGTGTGGTAATATACCTGTGCTCTGTGTGTTTGCGGGTAGGGGTCTCCTACTGTCTTGGCTTTTGAACTTGTTTGACAGGAGGATGAGAATTGTATGAAATATTTGCTGTATGAGGCATTGCTTATTTTAAAAGTGTCATAGCAGCATTCTCTTTTTTTTTTCCCCTCTTTTAATCGTTTCTAGCATTTTATTTGCTTTTTTTTTCACTATCATAGACAACAGAAATGGTATTTTCAGATGCCTATGCAGAAGAAATCCTGTGCTGCATCCTGTGTGAAAATAGCCAATTTAGAACTTGCAATTCTATCTGTGCAGTTACTGTTTTCACCTACGTATTGTTTTGCAAAAAATTCACTTGCTGATACCTAATTTTTCCTGATGTTTTGTCTAATCGCTGCCAGAAATTAAACTAAACGCAAAGAGTCACAGAATACCACGTGTAAAATACTACCATGATTTTATTGTTTTTACCTAGCAAAATGTTTCCTGTTCACAGCTTTGCAAGCTGACCTGACTATAAACAGTGCAGATACTGTGGGATTCTACTGGTATTCCCATTTCACTGTGAAACTGAGGCTAACAAGGATCAATTTTCCTATTTGTAACTAGTCATGAATTCCTAAGAAAAATATTTTCAAATATTAGCTTGATTTCTGCAGAGTCTTTGTTCAGGGATTTTAAAACACTTTGCGGAAAGCTTTGCGATGCCATCTAGGTCAGCTTTAATTAAATAAGCTTTAACAGACTTTTTTCTGAAGTGTGTCTTGACTCAGCAAAATCATGCTGACTTTTCTTCTGTGCTGCATTTCTCACCCCAGCATATCCCGACTATTATGATTTTGGCTCAGTTTGTTCAGTGAGAAATCAGACTTTCTAGGGCTCCAAGAAGTTGCAGACTTTTTAAAGATTTGTCACACTTGTTTCTTTCTGTGCTTGTGTTATTAACTGGTACATTCAATATCACAATTAGAAACCTGACATTCATATTAGAGTTCCATTGGAACTCTTGGAAGAGTAACTTGGCAAAAGATTTAACAGAATTATTCTAAAGTCAATTTTATTGACATTTCAACTCAGTGCATTCAATTGGACGCATCCTTGTCCAAGAACCTTTAGTAGAAAAACTATTCTAAGCTTTATCTTTCTGTGCATGTATTTGGGAGGAAATTGAGCTTTATTTACTGAGCTTTTATTTTATACATTTTTTTATTATGTAGGTCATCAGTTACTTATACAGTTTCTCTGGTAGGCCTTCTGCTTCGAAGTGGGGTTTGTTTGTTTTAAAGCTGTCCTATTACTTGCAATTTTGGCTTGCCTTATGGCTAAACCTTATTCTGCCCATGGTGGACACAGGGAGGAGCTTATTCCCTACTTTTTAACATGTACTTTTATTTTTATGTAGATGCAGACTGGCATCCTGTTTCCCACTGGTTTTATTTGAGGGCTAAGTACAATTAATGTTAAGATTGAAAGGACTGAGGTTGTGCAGGTTCTCTCACCACCACCTGCACCTCTTGTCATTTGTTTTCTTTGTGTGTTGTTTTCACTGGGTCTAGATTTTTCCTGAGTTTCTCAATGTGGTACTGGAGCTGTTGGTACCAATGTTAGACTGAAGATTTAACTTTAAATGTAAAATAACACATGCATCCATGACCTGCTTGGATTCCAAATGGAGATATTTGTAGAACAATACTGCATATACTTACTGTTTCCTATCATGAACCTGTTTAGCTGGTTAGTCCTACACAAACATAGATTTCTCAGTTTGGATGCAGTTCAATATATTGTGTTTTTCAACAATTATAGCAATGGTAAGATTACTCCTGAATTTTAATTTCACCTCTGGTATGTGTAGTTCCCTCCAGTTAGTTTGTCTGCAAATCTAAAGAGGGTGGTCTCTGTTCTTCAAGTCATCCAAGGGAATAAAGGATGATACTGGACCCAGAAAGACAAAGACCCCACATACTTACTTTTTTTTTTTTTAAATCATCTCTGCTCTACCTGTAAGCACGTGGCCAGGTTAGCTGTTCCTTTGAATTTCTGTTTAGTGAGCCTTCCTGTTGTTGAATATACTTTTTCCTTTTTGCTATATAACAAAGCTAACATCCCACTGAGACCTTTAAGGAAAAAATGTCTCTGAAGTAATTTCAGTGTATCAATCATGTGGTTATATGTTTTCAGAGTTACTATTATGAAAGACAAAGACACCAGAAAGAGCAAAGGAGTTGCCTTTATTTTGTTTTTGGATAAAGAATCTGCACAAAACTGTTCTCGGGCACTTAATAACAAGCAGGTAAATTGTGGGAAGTTGTTATGGCAGGAGGGTTGGGTTTACAGTCCCAAAATATTTACCTTGTTTTTGCAATTTGCTGTAGTTGTTTGGAAGAGTAATAAAAGCAAGTATTGCCATTGATAATGGAAGAGCAGCAGAATTCATTCGCAGGCGTAACTACTTTGACAAGTCTAAGTGTTACGAATGTGGGGTGAGTAAAACCAAAAATGAACTAATATATTCCGTCTTTTGACTCTGTCGTTTAACCCCAGCAGGCAACGAAGCACCGCACAGCTGCTTGCTCACTCCCTCCCCTCCTCGCAGAGGGGAAGAGAATTGAGAGGGTAAAAGTGAGAAAACTCATGGGCTGAGATAAGAACAGTTTAATAATTGAAATAAAATAAAGTAGTAGTAGTAGTAATAATAATAATAGTAAAAAAATGGAATGAAAAGGAAAATAAGAGAGAGAAATAAAACCCAGGAAAGACAAGTGATGCAAATGAAAACAAGTTCTCACCACCAACCAACCGATGCCCACCCTGTCCCCAGGCAGCGGCCCCCTGCCAAACTTGCCCTCAGTTTTATTGGTGAGCCTGACGTCATACGGTACGGGATATCCCTTGGGTCATCGGGGTCAGCTGTCCCGGCTGTGTCCCCTCCCAACTCCTTGTGCCCCCCCGCCTCCTCGCTGGTGGGGTGGGATGAGGAGCAGAGAAGGGCTTGACGCTGGGTAAGCCCTGCTGAGCAATAAGGAAAACATCCCTGAGTTATCAACACTGTTTACAGCACAAATCCAAAACATAGCCCTGTACCCACTACTGTGAAGAAAATTAACTCTCCCCCAGCCAAACCAGCACAGGCTCTTAGCTTGTTTCTTCACTTTGTCTATTGCTAATCCTGCCCATGCTCTTAAATTACTCTTTGTCTGTTGATACTATCAACTTGCATAGCAGCTGTACCATTTTCAAGAATGGTAGTATCTCTTTTGTCTTTTGTTTAGGATTTTGGGGGTGGGGGAAAATATGTACATATAATTGCTGCTTAACATGCTGATGAGCAGACAGATCTGAGTATCAGTATAATGCTGTTTGAGAAGGAAGACCCCCTAATCTTTGCTTCAAAATACCTGCTTTTGTTATATCTTTGGAAGTTCGTTATATAGTTGGCAGTAAAATAAATATTGGAAACAACTCTTATTATACAGAAGTGTGTTTTAAGGAAAAGTGAGGAATTGCCTAAAACTTAACATAGTAACACAGGAGATTGAGATTTGGATAGTATTTAATGTCAAATACAAACTTGATTTATATTCATAACACTTTCTAGAGCAAAAATGTTGACTCACTCCTGTTTCTTAAACTGTTAATACTGAGGTTTATATCTCGTCTTGAACATAACCTGTGCTGTAGTGTATTCAGCTATTGCAGCAGCCAGAGAAAATCTACTTTGCTTTGTTCTCAATTTGCAGTTAAACATGCATATCACCACCAATCTCTTCGTTTCCATGGCAAGCTTATAGAAAAGAGTTTGTCTTCTGTGTGCTAATTCAGCATTCCATTTATCTTACTAATTGCTTCCATTTTTTTTCCCCCTGAACTGTCTTACATTAGCTTTCCTCATGATATGTTTGAACATATAGTTGTTTGTAATGGTTTCTGTTAAGCAATATTTCTTTTTCTCCAAGGAAGCAGGACACTTAAGTTATGCTTGTCCTAAAAATATGCTAGGAGAGCGGGAGCCACCAAAAAAAAAAGAAAAGAAGAAGAGAAAGAAAATAGTTGAGCCAGAAGAAATGTATGTATATTTATTTACATGTTACTACTTCTTTTAGGAAGCTTTTTCATACTGAACACTTAAAATAAAGATTATATATTTTTCTCTCTTGGCACAATGAAGTGAGGAGGAAGAAGAAAGTGAAGAGGAAGGAGAAGACCCTGCTCTAGATAGCCTCAGCCAAGCCATAGCTTTTCAGGTACAAAACTGAAGCACTGTGTATTTGTTATTATTAAATGCATATCCTCCGTGATTTCGCTGCTTTTCAAAAGCTCTGAGTATACCCAGAGGTCTGTCTGTTCTCTAGCACTCGGGGGCACTCTTGCCTGGCAGTAGTTGGTGACTATAGTTGGTTTCTTCATATTGCAGGCATGTTCAGTTGTCGGTTTCATTTTTGACTTTTTAAGATAAATTGGTTCTGAATGTGACTGAGTGCAAAACTTTTACACGATGTAGTCAAAAAAAAAGATGCAAATATGTACAGTTATTCCCCCCTCCCCGCCCCTGGAAAACTCTACAATTGGAAGTAAAACCTACAAACGTAAACAAGCCAGGAAACATTCCCATTTCTCTTGCCATGCAAAGATTTTTAGCTGGGATAGTGTATTTCCCAGTAAAAATAGGAAGCATCTATTTAAACTTTCAGTTGAATAACCTTTACATCCCTGAAGACATTCATTCCCTGAAAAAGACAACAGATACAAGACTTGTTAGTGGCACAGAGCTGATTCAATAATGTCAGTTTAAAATGTGGTGCATTCTTTGCTTCAGATCTCAGCTGCTCTATAGTTCTGTAAGTTTGCCATAGGCAAAGTTCCTCTCTTGGAAAACAGAGGGTTCTCCATGCGGCCTGTGTTGGTGCAGAACACTTACTGTTTGCGTGTGAGAACGTCTTTCAGAAATGTGTTCTAGTCCGTTTGTTGCACAGTTTATCTGGAAATGGAGATAAACACTTTGAATTGTTTAACTTATTAAATAATTCAATGCATATTGTTATTAATTAGCATATTATTTGTAATGCATCTTAATTTTTCTTAATCCTAGCTAATACTTTTCTTTCTTTCATTGTAGCAAGCCAAAATTGAGGAAGAACAACAAAGATGGACGCAGACTGCAGGGGAATCTTCAATTTCAGATGATTCAAAACGTCCACGAATTAAGAAAAGTGCTTATTTCAGTGATGAGGAAGAACTTAGCGATTGAAATAATACTGTTTTATACGCATATATAATATATATAGTGTACATTTTGTAAAGTGCTATGAAGTTATCTGTAATACAGGTTTGTCTTGATGTTGAAGACGCTTACTGAAAATCACGTTGTAGTTCTACCCTGCCCCCTGAACCTCCCATCTTTTGATATCTCTTTGTCTCAAAGCTTCACCTTTCAAGACAGTTTCTTAAGAAAAATGATGTGTTTCTACACTTAAATCCGGAAAAATGTCTGGGAGAATGCTTCTTGCAGTTAGTATCTAGACCCAAACCCCGGGAGTGAAATGGTTCAGAAGAGAATTTTCCAAGATTTTTTTCGTAAGAGGAGTTCCTCTTAGGATCAGTGTTAGCACCACTGATGCTTTATGTATTGGGCTCTTTGTTGCCTGTTTGGAAGCAGTACTTTAGTAGTATATGAATCTTGCACTAGTTCCTCTGCGTAGGGTTGCATTTCAGCCTTAAGCATTGTACTAGTCTTTTAACTCTTCATGCAGTAATGTAATAAATTACTGTCACATCAACTTGGTCTGTGAAATCATTTTAGACTAAACAATACATCTGTCTGTTTTCCAAAAGGATATGAAGATGTTTATCTTCTGTCTTATGCACAGTTTTAGTAACTTGCTGTACACTTCATAGTATAATATTACCAGTATTCAATATAGGCTTCATAGGAGATGCAAGTTAAAAGTGATGTGGTGATTATTTCAGTCTTGAAACATACTTAATACTTTTTTAAGAGTGATAGTTCTGTTGCTCTTGCATTAAATATGAGAATGGCCATATATTTTTTAAATGGGAGTATGCATATGTTTTAATATGCTCTAATCTGATATTGAAAGTCTCTTGCTGTGATGAGGGCTTATACTGCACTGTTTCTCCTGACTGCAGTTTGGGTGCCTAACATGGTAATTACAGTTATGCACAGAGTTTTAAATGTGCTCGTATCTAACGTGGATCACAGTTCTATGTTCTCAGGCATCTGAACCTGCTGGCAAAATCCAAAAGGCACAAAGTTTCCTATGTGCTTAAAAATCAGCTTTCGTGTATACTTGGAACTGTCATGGTCTCTAAGCAAAGTGTGTTGGTGTCTATTTTGTACCTAAAGCTGTTCAGATCTTGTAAGCAGGATCTCCATCCTTAAATCTGCGTAGGGTTCTAGTCATAGACTCCTAAAAAGCCTCATAGAGACATTAGGAGAACAGTACAAAGCCTTGCAGCAGCCATCACCCCCAAAACCACGGACCCATGGTGACGGCAGTAACCCTTTTGTGTTGGCCACTTTGTGTAGTCAAACTTTTCATTTTGAGGAGGCACAACATAAAACACTTTCACAGTTGGATGAAGAGACCAGCTGGCCTGTGTTTCTATTTCCAGCTCTTCCTGTTGCTCATCAGGATTTGGTTTTCTTCCAAATATAGAAAGTGTAAATCCAAGTATGTCATTACATATTCTTAATTAATACCAATTTACATTCAAATACATAACTGGGTGCAAAGCAGACACACACACACGCAGACACACACACACACACACACAAACACACACACACACACACACCCCTAAGCTAATATAAAGCAGTCGCATTTAGAAGGTCATTCTGGGGTCTTCTGTTGCTACTTTCACAAGAAGTTGGAAACAAGAATGAGGTAATAAAGTAAAAGATTTTTCTGTACAAACTACTCAAGCCACAGAATGGGGAGAAATATTGGGCTTTATACATAGGAAGGTCTTGGACTTAGTAATCCAGAGAATGTTTTTCAGACTTACCTTGTGACTTTCTGCTGAAAGCACTATATGTTAAATCTGAAGCTTCCTTTATTGAATTTCAGAAAGATCTCTTGATACTGAATAGCCAAGTGCTAACTTAAGTGTTAATAAATGCAAATCACTGTACATCATGTGTGTAAGAATGAAGACTGAGGAGTTCTAAACTCTGCAAAGGAAGAAAATCTTGCTGCCAGCATGCTTCTCTGCGAATGCTAGGTTAGGGTTCAGTGGCAGTAAAAAATAAAAAAAAAAAAAGAAAAAGAGAGCAAACAAACAAAAATATTAAGCCACTACTTAAAATTGGGGTTTGTCGTCTTCTCCAATACCATGTTTAATGCTGGTTTTAAAAAAAGACAGAAAACTGAAATGTAACAGAGGGCTGGGTTGACGTTGTCCATGGCTTTGATTTGGGAATATTTGATAGCTTATAAGACTTAAGATTTCAATGAAGTGATCAGGCAGCAAGTGTCAAACTTTTATTTCATTATACTGTTTAATGTCGCAGTGGAACTCGCGGCTATGAGACTTCTTTCAGGGTCGTAGGGTCAAAAGGATTAGACTTATATGTGGAATGTGGTATTTAAAAATGTTAGTTTAAATATAGTCTCCACTCCAAAATACCCTAAACTACTGACTACCTCTAACTGTAAACTATACAGAGATATTAACAGCCTAGGAATGTTTTGTTCTTGCACACTTTCTCGTATTTGCTACTGGTGCCATGCCAAGAAGAATAAACCCCGAACTGACCTTTGTGCTGACCTGATGCAGTACTTTGTCAAGAGTTCCGGCAGCTGAAGCGTGTTGGTACATCTTTGTCCTCTGCTGCTTCTGCTCCCCTGCTTTCCCCCTAGGATTGGCTTTTGCCAGTGGGATGCAGTAGCTCGATCCAGACCATTACAACTGACCCAGTGGTGTTCCTCCTGCTCTTTAGATCCAAGCATGAAGGCGCTTGAGGCAGGCGACATTGGAAAAGAAACAGATAAAAATGAGCCTGTTTCTGGGCAGAATGGACATCTAGAATTCCTTACCGTAAATCATGTTTCTTTAACAGTTTTCTTAACTCTGTTTGAACTTCCATTGATTACCAGTGCTTATAGCTTTTAGCTTAGAGTCAGGGTAAAAAAGAAAGCACCTCGTGCCTAAAACAGGACTTAGAGGGACTTTGGAGGAGTAGGATTTGTGCACTTTGGTCTCCTGAATCATTTTAAGTTTCTATTCTTTGTCAGCAAGATAATGAGGCATCTCTAGGTGAGAAATTCTGAACCGTAGCATTAGATAACCATTAAGTTAGGTAGCATGGGTACCTCTTCTGCTTGCTTACGTCCAAAACTGTTGTCTGCAGCACCGGCTGATGCACCTGCCTCATTCTGGAAAAAGGCCCAGACTTGTCGACTGACTCCCTTTGTGATCTCGGAGGGCCAAGGGACTTGGTCCTGTTCGTGCCCAACCTCACCTACTCCAGGCTGCGTGGCTCCAGGTTTCCATCCGAGTCCGACCAGTGCTGAGGAGCTAGGCGCGGTGTTAACTGGGCTCCTAAGTTAGATCCAGCCTGCAGGGTGCAATTGGGTTTTGTAAACCTGAGCGAGAGAGTGGTGCTTTTGTCGGAGTTTGGTATCTGAAAGCACCAGCTCAGGAAGCCGAAAACAGCGTTGGTGGCTGCGTGGCTCTGGGCCAGCCAGATGAGGCTATGTAGCCACGTTATCAAAAGAGGGAAGACTGAAAAACGCCTCGTAGAACACCTTCCTGTTATTGTTAGAAAACCACAGGGGGTTGTGGGTGGGGTTTTTGTGTTGGTGTGAGGGTTTTTTTAGCACTTTGAGGACCTAGCTTAGGCTAGCAAGCCAAATGCTAGTTTTAGAGTATATATGATGTGGCTCTGATTATACAGAAAATGACATGACGTGGCAGACAGATATTTATTTCTTTTAAATAATGTCAAAACCAGATCTTTCTGCAAAACCCACTTACTAGATTTTGTCTTTCATATTTTCAAAATAGCTTGAAAATTGTCAAAATAATACTTTCTGGGTCATGGGACCTCTTGTCTATTGAACTGGCTAACCGAGTAGTGTCTCAAAAACCACAAGAAGATGACTTTTACCTGTCCCTGGGGAAGAAGGGGCTATGGAAGGGAGACGCGGATGATTAGCTTAACCGATTAGCAGTGGCGTTACTCACACTCGGCCTGTGCAGCCCTTGTTAAACCGGTGCAGCTCTGAGACACTGGGGCAATTTTAGTCCACGTTTAGCAGGCTCCCACTATGGTCTTGGTGTATTGAGGTTACTACTCTCAGCAGAGCAGTAGAAGGGGCTGTAAATATAAAGAACTATGTGTAGCTAAATAGGTGATGTCTGGAACAAATTGTAAACACTTTGTCTTTGGCTTCTGGGTCACCGTGTTCTCTGGGATAGCCCTTTTTTAATCTGCAGAGATGACTTACTGTGGGATGGGAAAGGGCGCTGTGCGTGCTGTTTGCCTGTAGCCTTTTGAGGCAAAATACATTAAATTGCTTAGAAAAGCTAGATGTAAAATGTAATACTTAAAAATGGGATTTATTAAGTGCTACTATGAATGCTTAGAAGTAACCAGTATAGAGACCTCTTCGTTTCCACTTTCCGTTCTATTTGGCATCTGCAGTGTCAATATGATAATACATACCATCACAATTCCACCATTACTCTTCTATAAAAACATTTCAAATAACACTTTTCCAGATGTGTTATCTTAAAATAACTGGTATTGGATAGCTGATTGCTTCTTTTTAGTATAGATTACAAAACTGGTTTTAGGTGTGTCCTTAAAATGTTCGTACTAAACAGCTTTGTTTATCTTACAGATCTTAACAGGGTGAGTTTTTTTCTGTCGGTGTTGATGGCAATATTAAAAATTACTACGCTGTTCCTTCTTTAGAGAAAAAGGTGTGAAGTGGAGGGTTTAGTCGCTCTCAACGTAGATGACCTTGTTTCTTGTATCTATGGTGGTGTCTATAAAATGTATCCTAGTAGGGATAAGCTGAGGGGATTCTGTATGTAAAAGCAAGCAGTATTTTTTAAGTTGAGGAACTGTACAGGTTTGTGAAATAACGTTTTGTCAGTGCCAGGCTAACCCTGACCCTGCTGTGCATTCGGATAGATGAGGTGTGTGCTTATACAGGTATTTAATGGGTGTGGTAGGTAACGCCGCAAGTAGAGTTACAGAAATTGTGGCAGTAAAGTGTG